TCCAGCTTTATAACTCACTGCATGTTGCAGATTTTACCCAATTTAGCTTCAAATTCACACATTAATCAACATTATCTTTTATAATCTTTCAAATGTAGAACCTAGCCTCTAAATTAACACTTCTACTTGAAATAAACTTGTAATTAGAAGCATACATTTGATGATTAACACATAATCCTCAAGAATCTAACATTGATTATCAAGGATTGAAAGATTAATCTTAAGTGTGTGTAAATCACACCTTGAGTGTGTGAGAGTTCTAGAGGTGAGAAAATATGACTGATTTAGAGAGCTAGGCACGGTTTTGACCTGTTTTGTTCAACAGTCCACCTAGTTTGCCATAGTTGACAGATTTAGTCCCTCATACGTAACTTGGTCGTTTCAACTCCGTTTCGCACAAAACTTTCCAGATCTCATAATTGATATATAAGAAGCTTAAATATAAAATTCCAACCTCTAACTCGATCCAGAAGTCCATATTCCAATCTAACTTAAGTAAGTACTAATCCATAAAATACTATACTAACTTAATTAAACATGCTTAGCAACTTAAATGGACTTTTAGAAAGTTGGATGTTACAAATACCTCCCCTTTTTAAGATTTCGTCTTCGAAATCATGATTGCAATAATAATGAAGGGTACTTAGTCATCATCTCATCTTTGCGTTCCCATGTCCAATTTGTCCCATGATGATGTTTCCACTTCACTAATACCAAATCTACCTCTCTATTGTGCAATTTCACTGTTCGCTCTTTCAAGATACTTTTGGGCTCTTCGGCATATCGAAGCTTTTCATTTATCTTAACTTCCGATAATGGTACTACTTCCTCATGTTTGCTCAAACATTTTCGTAGATAACCGACATGGAAAACATCATGTATACCCGTTAATTCTTCGGGTAGTTCTAAACGGTAAACTTGTTTCTCGACCCGTTCAATAATCTTGAATGGACCGATAAAACAAGGACTGAGATTACCTTTCTTTCTAAACCGTAATACTCCACGCCACAGGGAAACCTTCAACATGACCAAATCTTCGACTGAGAACTCGATCGGTCTTCTGCGGTGATCAGCGTATGACTTTTGTCGGTCCTGAGCCGCTTTCATTCTCTCTCGAATCACCTGTATTTTGTCGTGTGTGATTTGTACAAGTTCGGGTCCAGCAAGTATCTTTTCTCCGGTTTCTCTCCAACACAGAGGCGTATGACACTTACGACCGTACATGGCCTCAAACGGTGCCATTCCAATTGTCGAATGGTAGTTGTTGTTGTAAGAAAATTCAATTAATGGCAGATGAGTATCCCAGATACCACCGAACTCTAAAATACAGGCACGAAGCATATCCTCTAAAGTATGAATGTGCGCTCAGATTGCCCGTCAGTTTGAGGGTGATACGTGGTGCTGAAGGCCAACTGCGTCCCAAGTTCTCGTTGTAACCCCGACCAGAATTTAGACGTGAAATGTGAATCACGATCAGAGATGATTTTAGTCGGTATACCATGTCGAGCGATAATTTCATCAATATAAAGTCGTGCCCACTTATCCAACGGATACGATTCTAGAATGGGAAGAAAATGCACAGATTTCGTCAACCGGTCCACAATGACCCAAATACTATCATGCTGTCGCTGAGTCTTTGGCAACTTCGTAACTAGGTCTCTTGTTAACTCCTTCCATTTCCACACTGGAACCTCTAAAGGCTGTAAACTCCCGTATGGCTTTTGATGTTCAGCCTTCACTTTCATACAGGTAATACACTGCTCAACATAATGTGTAATATCGGTTTTTATCCCCGGCCACCAGTAATCAATACGAAGATCATAGTACATCTTAGTGCTTCCTGGATGGATAGACATTCTCGAATTATGCGTCTCAGCCAATACAGTATATCGTCAACCACCAAATCTAGGGACCCAGATTTGGGTCTTAAAGACTTTCAAACCACGAGAGTCTTCAGATAAAAAGTCGACATGACCCACCATCTGTTCCGACTTGACATGCTCAGGCTTCAAAGCCTCGTGCTGCCATTTTCGTATATCATCGAACAGATTGGTTTTCATAGACATATGAGTGATAGCATAACATACATGATTCGTGTATGCTTTCTGACTCAAAGCATCCGCCACTACGTTGGCTTTACCCGGATGATAGAGTATCTCACAGTCGTAATCCTTAATGAGCTCCATAGCACGCTGCTGATGCATATTCAAAGTCTGTTGATGGAACAAGTATTTTAGACTTTTATGATCGGTGAAGAGTTGACATTTTGTGCCATAAAGATAGTGGTGCCACAATTTAAGTGCAAAGACCACCGCTGCCAACTCAAGATCATGAGTGGGGTAATTCTTTTCGTATTCCTTCAATTGACGTGACACATAAGCGATGACCCTTCCTTTCTGCATCAATACACAACCAAGTCCTAATCGTGAGGCATCACTATAAACTACAAAATCCTCACTACCTTCAGGTAAAGAAAGAGTTGGTGCGTGTGTCAAAAAATCTTTCAAAGTCTGAAATGCCTTTTCTTGATCTTTGGTCCACACAAATTTTGCATCTTTACGGGTAGGGGAAGTGAGAGGAAAAGAAATCTTAGAGAAATCCCGAATGAAACGTCGGTAATATCCCGCTAGGCCGAGAAAACTCCGAATCTCTGAGGCATTCTTGGGTTGCTCCCATTTTTGCACTGCTTCAATCTTGGCAGGATCCACAGAGATACCGTCACCGGACACGGTATGTCCCAAGAATTGTACCTGACGTAGCCAAAATTCATATTTTGAAAATTTAGCATAAAGTCGTTCTTTTCTCAACAACTCCAGCATCTATCGAAGGTGTGTTGCGTGATCAGTCTCAGACTTCGAGTACACAAGAATGTCATCAATGAATACAATTACAGACTTATCGAGCATCGAACAACATAGTCGATTCATTAAGTCCATAAACGCAGCTGGGGCATTTGTGAGACCGAAAAGCATCACCAGAAATTCATAATGCCCATATCTCGTACGGAAAGCAGTCTTAGGTACATCCTCCTCTCGTACCTTTAGCTAGTGATAACCTGATCCGAGATCAATCTTGGAGAAGAACTTTGTACCTTGAAGCTGATCAAACAAATCATCAATACGGGGTAACGGATACTTATTCTTAATTGTTACCTTATTCAGCTCACGATAATCGATGCACATCCGAAAAGATCCGTCTTTCTTCTTGACAAACAACACCGGAGCACCCCATGGTGAAGTGCTCGATCGTATGAAATCTTTATCCAATAGCTCTTGTAGTTGATCCATCATTCCTTTCATTTCTGGAGGCGCTAGACGATAATGAGTCTTCGCTATCGGTGTTGCACCCGGTATCAAGTCGATTCTAAACTCCACTTGCCTATCTRGTGGCAATCCAGGCAAGTCTTCAGGAAACACGTCCGGGTATTCACGTACTATTGGTACATTGTCCAGAGTCTTCTTCTTCATCTCCTATGTCGAATCTAGGACATACGTTAAGAAAGACGAGTATCCTTTAGTTAAATAATGTCGAGCCTTGAGTATGGAGATTAATTTAAGGTCGATCACTCGTCGTTTACCATAGACATGTAAGAATTCTCCATTTTCCATCGGAATTTGTACCATTCGCCGCGAGCAAATGATTTCTTCTCGGTTCTTCGTCAACCAATCCATACCAATTACCACATCAAAGTTATGAATATCCATTGGAATCAAATCGACCGTGAACTCATGGTCATCTAAGTCTAATTTACAGTCTTTATAAACTTTATCAGCTACGAGTGTTACTCCGTTTGCAGTGTCGATATTAAAAGGTTTTTCAAGCATGATTGGCACATAATCGAGGTACTGAGTATAATAAAGTGACAGAAAAGAATTCATGGCTCCCGAGTCAAATAAAATACATGCAGGTCTATCATTGAGAAGGAAAATACCTGTTATGACGTCCAGTTCCTTCAATGCCTCCTCTGTGATTTGAAAAGCCCTGGCTCGTGCCCTGGGCACCTCCTCCTTTTGGGTTGAAGTACCCACTCTCGTTGGTTGTTGTACCGAGGCTTTGCTTTCATCTTTTTTTATACGGGGACAATCTTTAATACGATGCCCTAACAATCTGTAGGAAAAGCATGCACGATCTCTCTGGGGACAATTCATCCTAACGTGACCCGCTTCACCGCAACAAAAGCATTTAATGACAGATCTATCCGTATCACACAGGCCTTGGTGTGTCTTTCCGCACCTCCGACAGTCTCTTGGTGTGCTTGACTGAAGGCTAAATGCCTGAGAGGATACACGTGGGGTACTCTGAGATTGAATTCTCCTCTGGTTGGAAAATCGAGAGAACCGCTGTGTTGGGGTAGACATCATCCTCTCAGTTCGTGGACGTTTCGACATCGGTTCATTTTCATCAGGAATGGATAATTCATACTTACAATGCCGAGCGTATTCAACTATCTTGCTAAAACTGGAACCATCACGACTTACCACAAAACTTCGAATCTCCTTCTGTAGTCCTCCAATGAAATGTTCGATCTTATCATGTTCGGAGCTCAGGAATCGTTATGTGAATCGTGTCTTCTTGTTGAATTTAGTTTCATAATCAAGTATAGTCATCTTACCTTGCTTCAAATCCAAGAACTCCTTTTCAAGATGCCTTTGTAGGTCAACAGGGCAATATTGTTCAAAGAACTTTTTCTGAAATTCGTCCTATGTCAAACTGTTACGTGTTGTCGCGTCTAAAGACTCATACGTGGCATTCCACCACACCAGGGATCGCTCTATGAGCATCGCAGATGCATATTTTACTTTATCTCTATCCAATACCTCGGTAATTCGGAACACCTTTTCCGTGTTCTGGATCCATTGCATCGCCATTTCAGGATTTGATTGCCCCGCATATTCTATAGCACCACAGCTTTTGAAAGTTTTAAATGAAACCCGGTCGGACTTAGGTTTCAGTGCATCTCCGACTTCGTTTGAATGCTTACCACGATTGTCGGGTTCCATGGGATTGTTTTGATTACGTTCTTCCTCAAAGCGTCGCTCCATTTCTTGATGCTGTCATTCTAGAGCCGTTGTCAATCGATCATCCAAAAGTTTCAATAGTCGTTTTGTACGAGGGGACAAAGCGGGATTTTCATCGTTCTCGGCATCTTCTGGAGCATTTATATTCAGTGTGGGGTTGTTTTCCCCAACATTTTGTGTTTGACTTTGCTCATCATGCTCCGACATTTTTGCTGTGAAAACAACACATCTATGTTAAACACAATCCTACCCTTGGTCCCAACCCAACTTAGGTTTCTCCTACAGGTCCGTATCCCGTATAAATCATTGCCTAGTTACTATACGATCTCAGTGCCTAGGTTTAAGTCTAAATACCATTTCTGATATTCAGATCGCTTAAACCGCGACTCTGATACCATAATTGTAACATCGGTTACGCTAATTCTTAATAAATAGAAACTATTTATCCAAAAGATTTTCCATAAAACAATCTCCAAGCAAATACGGGATATATGTTGTAGATTTCCACCAAAAATAAAATAACAAAGCCTGCAACCAACGATTTTCGGTACTCTAAGTCGGGTCCAAAAATACAAATATATCTACCGAAAAGTATTATATATATAGATACAACTCAAGAAGATATATGCACAACAAGTACCAAAAAGATATCCAGGATTTGGAATCCTACAAGCAGATCTAAACTGCTTTATCTTTCCCTTGGACAGCTACCGACCTTCCTGAAAAGAAAATTTATTCTAAAAAAATAAGCGACAAGGCTTAGTGATATTATACCAAAGCTTATAATTATATATTTTATAAAAAAATACAAATATTAGACGAAACAAAACATAAAGAATCGCTTATTTGTGAATTAGACTGTTAGCTCAAAAATCTGCCAGAATTTCGCCCAGAGCGCAGTACAACCAGAGGCTCTGGTCGTCCAGAGGGCCTCTGGTCCCGAAAGACTTGGAGTCCAGAGCTCTGGTTTATACAACAAGAGGCTCTGGTCGTCCAGAGGGCCTCTGGTCCCGAA